TGGGCATAGTTCCAAATTGGTCTACAGAATGGTTGAATCAGTTCACAACTCCAGCCCCAGTGCATTAATTAACCCTAGCTCTTTTCCCTTTGGAATATCACATTCCAAGCCCTCTGATCCTTTAATGTAGGAGCAGCTAAATCTTTGTATTATCTTGATTGTGCTCTATGACACTTGAATTGTTTCTTTCTGGCTGCTTGCAATATTTTCTCCTTCACCTGGGAGCTCTGGAATGTGGCTATAATATTCCTGTGTATTTTCATTTTGGGATCCCTTTCAGGAGGAGATCAGTGGATTCTTTCAATTTCTATTTTACCCTCTGGTTCTAGAATATCAGGGCAGTTTTCCTTGATAATTTTTTGAAAGGTGATGTCTAGGCTCTTTTTTTGATCATGGCTTTCAGGTAATCCAATAAATTTTAAATTATCTCTCCTGGATCTATTTTCTTGATCAGTTGTTTTTCCAGTGAGATATTTCACATTGTCTTCTTTTTTTCATTCTTTTGATTTTGTTGTATTGTTTCTTGATTTCTCATAAGACATTACCTTCCAGTTGTTCCATTCTAATTTTTAAGGAATTAATTTCTTCAGCGAGCTTTTGGAACTCCTTTTCCATTTGTCCGATTCTCCTTTTTAAACCATTCTTCTCCTATCGGGTATTTGGATCTCTTTTACCATTTGGCCTTCAATATTCTTTGTATCTCTTTACCAACTGTTGACTTGTTTTTCACAATTTTCTTACATCACTCTCATTTTTCTTCTCAATTTTTCCTTTACCTCTCTTGCTAGATTTTCAAAATCCTTTCTGAGCTCTTCCATGGCCTAGACCAATTCATATTTTTTTCTTCGAGGCTTGAATGTGAGATCTTCCACTTTGTTTCTTCTGCTGAGCATGTGTTTTGATCTTCCTTGTCACATAGTAACTTTCAATACTCAGAGGTTTCTTTTCTATTCTTTGCTCATTTTCCCAGCCCATTAGTTGACTTTTAACTCTTTGTTCAGGTAGGGCTCTGCTTCCTGGGTGGAGGGTGAACTGTCCTAAGTTTCAGGGGTTTTGTGCAGCTGTTTTCAGAGATACTTCTAGGAACCTGTAAGTTTTCAGTTCTTCCAAGGTGGTATGATGTAAGGAAAGAAGTGTACCACTTTCCTGGTCTGTGCTCTGGTCTGTGAACATCCACTAGCCCTCTTTTCTGCCCTGAAACTGTGAGGAGAGCTCCCCCTCCACTGTGGACACAAGCTCTGCAATGGTAGTGCTCTTCCCCACCTGGGACTGCCACCCAGGATCAAGCCCTGGATCCAAGTAAGGGAAAAAAACAGCAGAATTCTGCCCCGGGCTAGCAAAAAAACATCCCTGTAATTTCCTTCTGATTTGTTATTTGACACCCCCCACCTCTTTCTGGCTCAGCTGTGGAAGAAGCCACTGCCACTGCTGCCACTGATTCAGTCACTTACAAGGCCTCTGAAGGCAAATTCCTGGTTTGCTGGGCCGGATCTGGGCTGGTGTGGCCTATACTGTGCTGCACTCCTCTCTCACCCGGTGCAATAGACCTTTCCTGCCAAACTTCCAAGTTGTCTTGGGCTGGAAGTTTGTTTTCTCTGTCTTTTGGTGGGTTCTGTTGCTCTAGAATTTGTTTAGAGTCATTTTAAAAAAAGGTATTTGGTGGTGTTTGGGAGGGAGCTCAAGTGAGTCCCTCCCTATACTCTACCATTGTGGCTCCACCATCTTGGCTCCATCTTGGCAAAGCCTGTTGATACCTATTTTGCTGCCATCTTCTCTCTCAAGAAGAATGTTCTTCAAAGTAAAGAATGAACAAGTATGGTTAAGAAGGCAATTAAGCCTGACAGAGTTGAAGAGATAAGAAATAACATCTGAGCCCTTTAACATGAGGTCAAGCCTACTGACAATCTGATCTCCACCACAACCTCCTCTCAGGTTGAATTTGGAGATTTGCCCTCCTTGCTAAACACACACTCATGGGCCAACAGAAATTTGATTGTTGACAGCCCATGACCTCCAACAAAATGAGCTGGACAAAAGCCTTCCCTATTCCCATTCTCCTTATGTAATTTAGTGCCAGTTTAGGGTCAGGGACAGAGTCTAAAACAAACAAAAAACAACATAATAACCTCTTGATTGCTAAACTAATCAGAGTTAATGGAAAAAAAATCCTGTTTGCCTACAAGGACTAAATGTTTATTGGCTGGGCATTCCCACCCCTTGTTTTCTACCAATGATGATAAAAGTCTGCCATCTGAGCTGATACCTCTGAGAGTTGTAGGACCATCTGTCAGGAATGGATCCTTGGGGACTCACCTCTACTGCCCTACTGACTTGTGTTCTTTTGCTGATCTTTTTGTCTCTATGGAGACAAGGATTCAAAAGGAGGAAGCTTCCCCCAGGTCCCATTCCTCTTCCCATTATTGGCAACATCCTGCAATTGGATTTGAAGAACATGCCTGAATCGTTATCTAAGGTAAAGGGACTGGATTGGGTTTTGGATCTGGCTGCTTGGGCTGTAGGAGGAGACACAAAGTCTTCAAATAGATAACTGAATCAAGAGTCATGGTGATTTAGAATCCTATGTCATGGATGGTGTGAGTCAAGGGCTCTATGAGTGATATCTCCATTAGCAATGATGTTAGGCAAGCAATAGTTGTTTTGCCAAAACTTTGGTAGCAGCAGAAGAAATTAAATTACAGAACCAAATATTGGCCCCTTGCAATGCAGCACACTAGGCTCTGTGAATACAAAGACAAAAACAAATCATTCAATTAATGAGAACTTCTTCATTAACTTCCATGTGCCAGGCACTGTGCCAGACAGAGAGAGAAACATGTGGTTAATGCAACTGTCTCTCCTTGAAAAGAAAATAGTTCGGGGCAGGACCTGAGTTCAGATCCAGCATCAGACCAAACACTTCACACTTACTAGCTGTGTGACCCAGGGCAAGTCCCTTAACCCCAATTGCTTAAAAAAAAGAAAGAAAGAAAAGACAAAAAAAGAAAAGAAAATAGTTCCTGTCCTCCAGGAGCTTATGTTTTACTAGAGGGATACAAAAAATTCATAGATAACCAAGTAGAAGGTAACTAGAGGACAGATAAAGCATTTGTAAGTGGGGCAGTCAAAAAGTTTCAAGTAGGAGAGAACTCCTGAGCAGGATGCTGAGGGAAGTAACAGATTCTTATTGGAAGAGAGAATGGGAATAAATTCCAGGCATGGTAGACAGTCTGGGCAAAGGCAAGGAGGTTGGAGATAATATAGATAAGAGAGGACATGGCAAGAATGTGAAGTGTGGGATGAGGGGCCATACAAAATCAATTTAGACAATTGGGTTGGAGGCAGCTGTGGAAGCATTTAAGTGCCAAGTCAGGGAGGCAGTAGGAAGCCCCTGCAGACTTTTGAGTAGAGGAATGGCACATTCAGAACTGTGCCACAGGAATAGTAAGTTGTTAGTTGTGCAGATTATTCATTGCAAAGGAGAAATACTAGAAGCAGAGGATTGAACTTGGAAGCCATTGAAAGAATGGATAAAATATCATTTATGAAGTACCTACTATGTGCTCACTATTGTGGAGACAATATAGAGTAAGATATTTTAGATGCATGTCAGTTGCAAAGGCGTTGTGCTTCTTAGGGAAAATTAACAAATTAGTCAGTTGTTTAGTAACTGGTAGTGGTGAGGTGAGGAAGGTGGGGCCCTTCTCTACAGTGACTGCTCCTCATTGAAAGGATGAGTGTTTGGCCTGGACTGAAAGCAGAGCCTAGGTGTAAGGGCAGGAGTCATTGACATGAAAAGGTCAATTACAAAGGCTCTTGAGTAATGGTCCTGGGTCATTTCAGTTATTTTCCAAGGGAATTTGGTGGTAGTTTGATTTTTTCTTTCTTCCCATTCCTTTTTCTCTTTCCCTCAGGGTGATTTATTAGAGTGACTAGTTTGAGTGTCTGTATCACAAGTTTACTACAGTAGTGTAAAGAAGGGGAAGGGGATGAGGGTCTTAACTAGTTTAATGGACAAGTGAGGAGGCAAGATGGAATAGGTGTGGGAGACATGAAGATGAATTCTACCAGACTTGACCATAGCTAATTGGACATAAGTAGAATGAAAAGTCAAATATAAATCCATGGCCTTAAATCAGGGTTGATGTAGGTTCCTCTAAGAGAAGTCTGCCTCTTGGGTCCCTGAAGGGAAATGGGTAAGTTTGGAGGAAAGGGTAGTTTTAGGGGAAAACAAATGAGTTGTGTTGTGGACATATTAAGTTTGCAATGCCAATAGGACATCCAGGTTGAGAAATCCATTTCTAAGCAGTTGGCTATGTGGAGTTGAAAAGTGGTCATATGAATGTGGGAATCTTCTGCTTATAAATAATCATTGAAGCCGGAAGTGCTATGATCACCCAGTTAGAAATTGTAATAGCCTCTTGCCTGCGTACATGAACTCATGCATATGGCATGTTATGAAGCAGTTGTGAGGAGAAATTCTCACTTTCTAAAGTTTCACACTGAATTCATCCTGTTTCTTGGCATTTTCACAGCTGGCTGAAAAATATGGCCCCATCTATACTCTTCATATTGGAACCCGGCGTGTTGTGGTGCTACATGGATATAACATTATGAAGGAAGCTCTAATTGATCATGGAGATAATTTTATGGATAGAGGAATCTTACCAATGTTTGGAGATGTAGCCAAAGGACATGGTAAGTTTAGTTTTCTGAAAAGAGTCACAGAAAAGCAAAATGTATGGCAAAGTATCTCCAGTAGAACGTCCTCCTCTGGAACATAGTTACTGGTTTCATTTTAATTGTTCTATTCTCAGTACCTAGCAGAAGACCTTCATGTAGTAGGTACCTGGTACCTGCCATTCTGTCATTGTATTTTAGTTTGAAGTGAATAAAATTAAACTTGATCAATGAACTAAGCCAGAAACTCCATAGCCATCATACACACTGTGCCCTCCCCTTCCAATGTAAGAATAACCAATGTCCTCTTCTCTTCTACCTAGGATTATTTTCAGTAGTGGAGAGAGGTGGAAACAACACCGCAGATTTACCCTGACGACCCTAAGGAACTTTGGGATGGGGAAGAGAAGCGTTGAAGAGCGAGTTCAAGAAGAAGCCCAATGCCTGGTGGAGGAGCTCAGGAAAACAAAGGGTTGGTTTTCAGTTCTTTCTTCCTGGGCATGTAGGGTCCAACTGCTCACCTACTCCCAGTCCTAAATGCTATTTGCTTTGGGAATCATTTTAAAAGTCTCTGCCTTCATCTACTTACCAGATAATAACTCTGCGGGTCAGAAAACTCCCTTCTTTTTTCTTGTGCTCAGGCATTATAAGTTTATCTAGCCTCCCTATAAGTAAAGACATCGTCCAGGAGAATAATATTCATTAGCCTTTAAAGAACTAAGCACCCTATCTAAGTATGATGCCCATATCCCATCTGATTGGAAACATTTCTATTAAAGTTGCTTTTTCCCCCCTTTGGTAACTTGTCTCCACATTAGGTCAGCCCACTGATCCCACCTTCATCCTTAGCTGTGCACCATGCAATGTGATCTGCTCTATCCTCTTCCGTGACCGATTCAAGTACAATGATGAGAAATTTCTCCATCTGATGAACTTGTTAAATGAAAACTTCCGCCTCGTTAACGAACCATGGATACAGGTAAGGCCAGAACTCTCTTCTTATTCTGTGGTTGTTTGCTGAGTTTCAGCAACAAGATCAATATACCATAGCCTCTCATCTCTTAGCCAAGGTCCCAACGCTCATGAGAACACACACACACACATTCACACACACACATGTCACTCAAGGACAATAACATCATGCAATATCTTTGGCTCTCACATAAGCTATTAGGTAGATATCCTGTTCCTAGTTGGCACCTGCACTAGATGTAGATCATTAAAATTGAAGTTATATGGAGAAGTGTTTGACTGGCGCCTGGGGTATCTCTTCACAGATGTGACCAAGTAAAAGAGTTATCAAAAAAGAACCTGCCCAGGATATCCAGGAGAGAATAGGAAGGGCAAGCCACTTAGATGAGTAACCTACACTGATTCTGGTGGTGATCTGGCTCTGCCTCTACAATGGATGGACATGTAGGATGAAAACCTTCATCCACTGAAGCCAGAACTGAAGATCCTCATCCAGCTGAAAAACAAGCTTTCTTTTCCTTTGCCTATGTTCTGTTCCATTTACATTCTGGAATATGTACTTACAGTCTGGAATAGGTACTCTAGCTAAACCCTTCTGTGGTAGAACGTAAATTTTTTGAGGATGAAGACTGCTTCATTGTTGTCTATAGCACCATAGCCTAGGACTTGGTTCATAGTGAGTACGGAAAAAATGCTTGATGCATTTTATTAACTTAACGTGAATTGAACTGAATTAATTGCATACCTTGGTGCCTGTTTATCTTCTTTTTTTTTTTCATGTTGGCCATTCGAAGGCAAGTAGATTTCCCCTTAACTCAAATATGAGCTTCTTTTGAACAACGACAAAATATTATGCCATCTGGTCACCTCAGTGGGTAGCACAGCACCAGATAGATTAGTTTTGAGATATTTGACAACTTAAGGTTAGATTTGAGAGGATTTATGAACCTCTTGACAAGGTGGGGATTTGTTTTGCCTCATTATGTGTATTTTCTTGGATGGTTTTGTTTTTCTTTTTGTTTGTACCAATGTGCAGTGAAGATGAGAGAGAAAATATATTTTGTCAATGAAAAATTTAATTAAATTTAAAAAAGAAATGGAATCTCTAATTTATAATGAGAGATTTTAAATAGTTTCTTCATGACAGTAAATTCACATGTGTTTGTTTTGGTTTGGGGTGTGTGTATGCAGCTCTACAACTTTTTACCAGCATTCGGAACATACTCCCTGGAGAGCACAAAAGAATTTTAAAAATTAATGAGGAACTTAAAGATTTCATTTTGGAAAGAGTGAAAGAGCATCAGAAGGTCCTGGACCCCAACAACCCTCAGGACTACATTGACTGCTACCTCTCCAAAATGCAGCAGGTAAGATGCATGGGGGAAGCACCTTACTTGTTGAGTAAGGCTGATATTCCAAGGATTCTTACAGGCCACAAGCACAGGAAAGGGACATGAGAGAGAACCTCAAAGTACCCACATCCCCCAAGGATGCCACTGGCTTTCTAGTAACTGGTCTTTGGTCTGCTCGTATCCCTTATCTGAAGTCTGGATGGAAAAATGAGATTGGAAGAGTTCTGCTTTTCTGGGTGATGAGCTGGTGATCTGGACTTTCCTGTTTGGAAGGGGATATTGTATTGGAGAGTGATAATAGGAATCAACTAATAAATATTTACCAAGCAACTACTATATGCCAGGCACTCCGCTTAGTGCCAAAGACACAAAAGAGGCAAAAGACAGCCCCTGCCCTCAAAGAGTTCACAGTCTTATGGGGAGATTATATGTAAACAAATGTATACAAAGTAAGCTCTAAACAGGAGAAATGGGATGCAGAGCAGGGCTTGGAGTCAAAAAGACTTGAGTTCAAAGCCAAATTCAGACACTTCTTAGCTGTGTAATCCTGGGTAAGTCATAATCCTCATTTGTAAAATGGGGATAATAGCATTTGTCTCCCAGAATGGTCATGACGATAATTTTTCTAAAGGACGTGGTGAACTTTTAAACATTATACAAATACTAGCTCAAAATCTAGCTATAATTTTCTCTATAAAATCACTCAAAATTAATTAATTTCAGGAAGGGAACAGTATTAATTTTGCCTCACAGAAAAATGAAGATGATACAAAAGCCTCCCAGAAACCCAAACCTATTCAGAAAACAAATAAAGCACTTACGGTATCTCATAATCTCCCCAGCTCAGAGTTGTCATCAGGACATCAGCCCAACATTCTAGTTAATCCTTAACTGTCCTCCAGTCCTACATGGTTCCACTCAGACTGATACAGGAAGCTAGGTTGTGGTATGGATAGAGTGCCAAGCCTGAAGTCCAAAAGACTTGTGTTCAAATCTGGAGTCAGACATGGTATAGTATAGTATAGTATAGTATAGTATATATATATAGTATAGCAAAGCATAGTATAGTATAGTATATATATTATAGTATAGTAAGTATAGTATAGTATATAGTATATATATATATATAGTATAGTATAGTATAATAAGTATAGTATATATATAAGTATAGTATAGTATAGTATAGTATAATATAGTATAGTATTAATATAATATAATATATATATATATATATATATATAATATAATATAATATAATATAATAATATAATATATAATATAATATAATATAATATAATATATATAATATAATATAATAATATATATAATATAATATAATAAATATAATATAATATAATATAATATAATATAATATAATATAATATAATTAAATTAAAAATATATAATATAATATAATATAATATAATATATATATATATATATATAATATATATATAATATATAATATAAATATATATATAATAAAAATATATAATGTAAAAATAATATAATATAATATAATATAATGTAATATAAATGATATAATATGATTAATATAATGTAATTATAATAATATAATACGATACAATACGATACAATACGATACAATACGATACATACTATACATAATATAATAATATAATATCACATAATATCACATAATATCACATAATATCACATAATATCACATAATATCATATAATATCATATAATATAATATAGTATAGTGTATAGTATAACTCTGAGCAAGTCACTTAACCTCTGTCTTCCTTCATTTCTTCAGTTGCAAGATGAATATAATAATATCGACCCCTATGGTCATTGTAAAGATCA